ATTTTTGTATGTATGTACATATTTTATGTAAAGAATTCTGTGAACTTATTTTAGATACTTAATTTCTATAATTGAATTGGCTTTTAGTTTCTTGTGTGATCATCATCTGAGGCTCACAATAATTGTAATATAATTTTAAATTTTAACTTCTTTTTACAGATTATGACGGGGACATACACACATAAATTATGTTCTCCGTATTTGCTTTTTCATGCAAGAAAGAAGAGAACTACTAATGTTTATGCAACTAATTGCTAAAAAAAAAAAAAACAAAGAACACATATACATACATGTATTTCATTAGTGGTGATTATGTAATTTTCGTAGACTTAAAATAAGCTGGGCTGGATTCCAGTGAAATGTAAAAAGTTACAACGATAGTTAATTGGAGTTTAAACAAAATGAATTAGACGCTTTTAACGGCCCAATCCAAAGCCATATCGCATAGGATAGGAAGCTCGACGACTAACCTCTTCCGATGGCTCACGCTTACCTAAACCGAAACTATATGGCTGGTTACGTTTCTCATCTGCTAATAATATTACAAAACAAATAAATAAAATAAAATAAGTATATTAAGTGTGTGCACAAGTCCGTAGCGAATTTCATTTTTAATATATCTTTACGAGGAACCATAGCTAAGAGGCAAAAATTCTTTCATAATGTTTCAGAGTAAATTTTCCATCTATATTTCCTTTATGAAAATCTCATGATATATAATTGCTTTTATTTGTGTGCGTTGCATGCACAGGAGAGCATTTATGCGTGAGTTTGTGCGTGTATGGGTAAGCGTAAGCTATATAGATATATTAATATATTTTCAAATTTATTGGATTATCGCTACGGTTTTACGCACACATGTGACATATATTTCTTACCTAACATTGTTTCTGTATTAAAAGTTTTATCTAATTCTTGTTTGGTTAATAATTCATCATCAATTCGATTGTAGCCAGATCTTTTATCCAAATCGAATGAATATGGAGCTCGTTTACCTAAGCCGAAATTATATACTGGTAAACGTTTCATGCCATTTCCATTAGTGTAAGTGTATCCACGTCGTCCCAATCCAAAGGCATAGCGTTCAACTCGCTTATCATAGTTGTTTTTCTCATCATGATCATCCATTTCCATATTAGTGCCCGCATTAATACTAAATAAGGAATTGAGTTGTGATGCATCATGGATATCGTTTCCATTTGTGTCATCATCTCCATAGTTCGGTTGACAGCAGAACATATTCATATTCAGCCAGCAGATCAACAATACCAACAAACAAGTAAAATTTATCGTCATCATTGTTATTGTATCAACGAGAGCGAGATGTGGAAGCAAAGCTGAATGGACAGAAATCAATCGATTCAATTTAAAGCTTAAATGTATCTCGATTTCTTAATTTTTAGTGAAATTTTATGAAATTGCGATTATATGAAAGGCTTAGCAGAGCGAGTCTCTATCATTACCGATTGCCGGCATCTCTAGAATGCAGATGATAATTAACTCGCCCCTCGGAGAGAAAATTTCTTAACTTTTCATACCTTTCATCATGTATGGTATAGGGTATATTAACTACGTGCGGACGTACGTAACACCCAGAAAGGTTTAAGGTAGACTTACGTACGTCTGCTCGTCTGATATTTGTCCATGTATTTATGTGTTCGACCTACAGGCTCTGTATTTTGAGATAGTCTTTGATGAATTTTCATATACTGATGTCTTTTTTTTTTTTTTTATTTTTTAAGCGGGCGCCACAATTATATATCGTTTTGAACAGTAATATTTCTCGCTTATTTTAAAAGAGATACGTGATATACTTGAAAATAAATTAATTTTTGTTCGATTATTGGTTAAAAAAATAACTTAAAATTATTACTTGTCTACATATGTTTGCAGCGAAGTAAAAAAATGAAGAAAAAGATACGCATTAATGTGCTTATAAGAAAGAAAAGCGACATGGAAGCGATGACAATTAGTTTTCTTTCGCATATATTTGCCAGTTGTCAGAGGAAAATAGGAAAACGACGACAGCACGAGAAATGACAAATTGTTTGAATATGGTAAATTGCTCAGCGTAACGGCTGCGAAAGTTACATTGGCCTTGAAGCGAATCTTAGATACCTAACATAAGTAATTTTTATTTTTTTTTTCTCTCTAAATATTAAAGCAATTTTTTGGTGTATATGAAATGATAAAGTAACTTTACTGCCATTAGTGTAGTTACAATAATTGTTTAACTGTAACGTCTCTAAAGTCAACAGGCATGCATGTATAGGCTTATGTGAAGAATGATTATTCCAAATGCTGAGAGGGATTAGAAGAAAATGGTAAGTAAAGAAAACTATGTCGGGGAGTCGCCCTCGACAAATATGCTATTTTTAACTAAAGAGAAAACCGAGAAGATGCGGGATAATTGACCAATTTTACGAAAACGTCCAACTCAACCACTCATTACAAAAATCGCTTAGAACTACGACACGTCATCATACACAAATAAAAAAGGCGAAGATAGGCTTTAAGACAAACCTCTTCATTATGGTAAATTTTTGTAACGCGGTGATGCAATCAAAACGGAAGGGACGAAAGAAAAAAAGAGAGAAAGACGTAGAGAGATCATGGCCTCAGCGTAGTGGATATGTGATCAATCGATAAGAGGTAGGCCTTCACTGATTGAGCACTCATCGAAAAAAACTCCACCATGCTGAGATTTGAAATTCTGGGCCAGACTCGAATTCAGAATGCACCTGAGCATGTCCGTCTGTATAAATATCCGTCTGTCTGCCTGCTGTGTAGTGCCTGTGGTAAACATCCTTACATGAGCAAAAAATGAAGATTTCTCTTACGAGTTTGAAACCGGCCTAACCCAATCAACGGGCAGAGTCCGATGACAACACTTTTTTTTTGCTCGTGTTACTCGTAAAGTAGATAATACACACCAAAGCAATATCCAATTTCCTGTCCCACTCCCACTCGATACTATAGAGTATGAAAATTTAGTTCTATTTTTCTTTTTTAAGGATCACGGTGATGGGCATAAGAGATTCGATCACCAGCGATTGCGATTTTCTTACTTGTTATCAAGTAAGACAAGCCTAGCAATATTAACGAGCAAATAAAACGGACCAGTGTTTCTATCTTTCTTCAACGAAGCTTATATTAATCGGAATAATTTGATATACTTTCAACGGAGGCACCACATTTTTGTAAATTAAAGCAAAAGCTTATAACAGCAAATCAGTTTACTTTTGTTGCATTATGATGAATAGAGCATAAATAAATAAAAAAATATGTCATTAATGGAGGTGGAAGAATTATTTACTCTTTCTATCTCTCTCTCTCTCTCTCTCTTAGGTAGTAATCCTTCATGCTCAACAAAATAACAAATAAGAAAACATTAAAAATCCTATGTAGACGATGTACGCGTGAATATGTTTTAACGCGAGAAAAACCTTTAATATTTTTTAATACATTTTATCTTTTAAAATTATTATCGCGTGCTTAATGAACTCGCAATAAATTGATTTTCGAATAAAGTCGAAATACTTGATTTGCCTAAAAGTAAACGATGGATGGATGGATGCCTCCATCCTCTCTATTCATCCATCTAAACGAATTTATTTATTAAATAGCTTTAGTTAAAAACGTCATTTTGACAAACGCTATCTTACACTTGCTGCTTTCGACCCATTTCCTTCTCCTCGTCTCCTTTCTGTACATTTTTTGCCCTTACATTGAAGCATTACAGTCAAAGGGCGCAAGAATGTGCCACGTAAAAGACGTAGATTCATTTCCTTCTTCTTTTTCTTCTTCTTCTTCTTCTTTAAATATGTATATAACGCTTTTACTGGTTTCATTATGTGTGCCTTGTCACACTCTAGGATCATTGGTATAAGTCAAATAAACTTTAAATCTTAGATGAAATTTTTTAAAACATTTTTGTACAAAGGCATATAAAAGAATTTCAATTTTTTGTGTTTTTTTTTTTTTTTTTGACAGTATAGTAGCAAGTACTCACTATATGTTTAACAAATACATGCGAACATTCAAAGAGATTTATGGGGAATTTTTGCATGCAACAAGTTAGAAAGCGACGTAAATCTATGCGATGGCGTTATGGTGGTTGGAAAAAAAACGCTTTCAAATGTAAAAAAAAAAAGATGTTTAGACGCAGTTATGCTGATAATACGCCCAACAGGGCTTCCGAAAACTTCGAAAACGGTTATGAGGATAGCTCGTCTATCAGAACTTCCGACAAATTGTGAACTTTTTAGCTGAGACCTTAGTCATCGATACATTGTCTAGGTGGACGAATTAAGTGAGCGTGAGCTACTTAATAAAAAACATGCCTTGGCCATGCATTGCTTAAATTCGGATTCAAAAGCTTTTAATATCAAACTTTTCAACGAACATGTCTATCGTTTTTAAGAGAAGTAAAATGGGAGATCCTTTCCAAAACTTTTTTTATCAATTGAAGGAAACAAATGGAGATAAAACAATATATAAGTTAACCGAATGTCTCTTCAAAATGGTCTTCTTAAATCAAGCCTTTGATATTTCTTTGTGACTAAACGTTTTCATCGTCATTGCAAAACATTATCTTGCCTTTCAATAATAAGAGAAAGGAATCAAAAACTTTTTGCTATTGATTCTCATATCCGTTCCTTAAATGCTATATATTTTTTTTTTTTTTTTTTTTTCAGTTAATTGTTTTTGTTCGTTTCCAATATAAACTATTCGTATGGACGGAAGTTGAAAGAGAAAACGTATCCGTATAAACATTCAAACACATTAGAAAGTTTTCGGCTTTGAGCATATTTTCTCAGAAACAAAACATAGAAAATTGTATTTGACCGAAGACGTGCACACCTTACGGTCAGAAATGTGAGAACATATGGTAATCTATAGCTATTCAACTATTTTAAGAAACAGTCGAAATGGGGAAGAAACCAGTCTGCTAACAAAACTATAGGATATGCAATCAGTTTACATATCTAATTTCCATCGTTTGGTGGTACCTGGGAATTATTGTTTAGAGAAGTTTGGAATCACTATGTGTGCGCTATGCAAGAATGTTAGTAATAATTATCATATACACTCACTGCAAGACAATTATGGAGTATAGTTGTCCTCTTAACGAGATATTTGATTCATCAAACACTTGGAAATGTACATCTCGGACCATATAGGACGTACATATTGCTCGTTATTCTTGATCTTATGTTTATATATTATTCATCAAGTGATCGTGAAATGTTTCAGTCATGTCTGTCTTGTCTTGTCTGTCGAAATCACGATATATAGCATTTTGCTTAGAATAATAGATTTATCACAACATTTTTTCAAGGACCGAAGGAAAGGAGTGCGGCAGACGCCTGAAATATTAATAAGGTACGATGTACTATATGTGCGATACGAGGTACGGCGAGCTCTATCTTCCAGTATAAGTGTGCCAATGGCGGTGAGTATAAAGAAAATCCAGATTTAGTCGAATGCACGAAGCCTAAACAACTTGGGGTACAGAGTGTGTCAAGTTCGTCCGTACCCAGAAGGAATTAAAGTGGATCCGCCTTTTACTGCAACAATCGATTCAGAATCAATCTAAGCTGGTCTATCCGTTTGTCTGCATTGTCTTTTTTCCATTAATAGGCCGCTCTTTTCGAGGTATATCGAGCAAATTTGGTGCACCGACATTTCTCGGCCCAAGGACGAATTCTATTGAAAATGTTTCGTATCGGACCAATATTTCGACCACTTCTCATACGAAGCCTTATTTTGAATTAACTGTAGGTAAGTGTAAGGTATTTAATGGTGGACCATGGCGCACTACAGTTTATTTATTTATTATAAATTTATTGTTAATTTTTTTAATGTTGTCCTTTGCTACATATATTTTCTCTAATCGCTTTTTTCTCGTGTTAACGACTGATGAAACCATAAACTGATGAACTATGTACTTACATTTTTATATTTATTCAAAAATAATGATCATCTCTTTTGAAAATTCCTCTCGTACTTACTCGTCATTTAGTTTTCTATTCAGCGGTGAAAGCTGCACAGCAGAAAGAAAAATACTTTTGGGACTTTATTTTTCGATTGAGTGGCAAAACTCTTGCACAAACATATTCAAGAGAATAGCATTGCAATTAACTCCAAACGGACCACGGTCGAGCCTTTGTGGCTCGTTTAAACTTTAAGTCTTAATATTTTCATTATATCATATTGCATTTCCAAAAGAATTTTTTTGCCTTAGATTAACAATAAACAATAAAAAAAAAAACGTTTTCTCACGATATCAAAATTAACACTTTGGATTTTTTCTAACGAATTTTACCACGATGAGCCTGATAGGCTCACAGTCAGAAAGCAATCTTTTTGCTTTGGAACAGATATGCACTGAGGAACTATGCATACAATACCTATACCATAACCGCAGTAACATGTTCACTAATTTCTTTACGAGTTGCGGAGTTAATGCAGAACTACAATACCTGCGTAAACATTCTCCTGGCCGCAATAGAGAATGATGCTATCGTCTTCAAACTTTGCAGAAATATTGAAAGTTCTTGGACACATCTTGATGTTGAAAATTGACAAAATCGGCCAAAGCACACGCCTACAGCGTACCATAAACTGAGGACACTTCTGCGTTCTGGGTTACCCGGTACGAATAAAGTGCAACAGACACAACATAACAATAACAATTTTCGCGTAAATGGAAATAGTCAACCACGCCCATCTAATATTACAGAATATGAAAATTTAGTTTGTTTGTTTGTCGCATTTTTAGTCTTTCTTAGGCTAAAGGCACCGGATATAAAAGATTCAGTCTCAGCCGATTACAAATTTCTTACTTGTTTTATTTTTGAAGATATTTTTGTTCTTTTTCTCCGATTTACAACTTTATTTCGAATTTTATCTAACATTATACTACACTATCATATATCGAGCGAGTTATCTTAATCTCAAGATTATAAGATAGATAGACCTTGCTCTAATAGATAAGTCTGGATATGGCTCTTCTATCGCTCTTTCTAAGTCATTCTGTTTTTTTTTTTTTCTTTTCCTTCTTTCTTTTATACTCTTATTAATATTTAAATTGTTTTGAAATTACCGCCGGCTTTAACTTACTATTATCGGGATCACGTTTGTGATAAGATGGCCACACGCGTAGACAGTTTGAAAATGAGTTTAAAAAATCAAATTTCTTTCCAAATGCATCCACCAAAATGCCAACAAGTTAACGAATAAAAACACCGCAATATGGTTAAATAAAAACTTTGTTAATTTTATGTAAACATTAAATTTTTTTTTATCGTTTTTGGTGTAACGCGATGAGCTGCACTCGGGTCAGAAGTTGCTTAACTTTTGAAGAACAAAACATGACATTCGTCCTCTTTATATGAATTGCAGCCAAGAAGAATTGATGTCGCTGTTGATGTCGCTATGTAATATTGAAGCAATGCTACACTTTTACGATTACCATTCGCGACCATCACCTCTACATATCTATCTAATCGTTCGCCTTTTCGTGCAGCAATGCTGTAAAAGAAGTGGTAACAAAAAAAAAGAAAAAAAACAATGCACGAAGTTCTTGCTGCTCCCACCACCCACTTAAATCCAGTACTTACAGTATATGTATGATAATGATAAGGGTTAAGAGCATCGACGAGACCAATATTTAATATTTTGCGCGCGTAAAATATATATATGTATATATATGTCAAGCGGTGTTGTACTTATGCAAAGAGGGTTTAATACGATAATAATCGATAATGAAAAAAATTCTGTTCAAAACAGAAAAGGGAGCAAATAATGCGGTTTTAAAGAATTTATTTACAACACTGTTTATTTTTTTTTTTTTTTTTTTATTTTGAATCTTATTCTTTTTCATCTTTTATTTACTTAAAAATATTGTGGCTGGATGCTACTACTAGAACTATTTGAAGTGGTCAGTATATGTGTGCAACAAGTTATTATTTATTTTGTTACATTTTGCTTTATGGTACGCTTTGAGAACATGATCCACGAGGCATTAACAGACTTTGAGATTATTATTATATTAAAGAACATTTTTTTTTTTTTTCTTATATATATATATATATATATATTTGAAATTTTTATGTAAAAAGTATAAGTTTCATATTAGCTTTCGACTTTGTAAAAAAACAACAAAACTTTTTTAATATGTATTATTATTTTTTTTTTTTTTTATATATATATATAAGACCGATCATCAAGGACTGGAAGTTGTTTTAATGCATTTTTGAAAAATTAACGTCTTTAGCAAGATAATGGTAGTGAAATATTCTCTTTCGAGACTTGTTTAACACTAGACATACCGCGTGGATCGATTTGTTCTTTTTCAACTTTTAAGCTTATTTAAAAAAAAAAAAAAATTTTCGTGGAGCTTGGATAGTTAGTTTGAAAATTTTAGCCCTTAAATACTCAAAAACAATTTCCCTATATTTAGTATACCCTTCCACATATCGATTATATATATTCTGCGCATTGCATATAGTTCTATGAAAATGGCTCATCCTCTTTGCGGAAGTGAAGCAGAAGCGCATTAGCATATATGACGATCAGTTGGGAGCGAGGTGTTGCAGTTATAATAAGATGAGGACGTGTTCAGCCACGAGTAACCCGCGAAAAATATGTTGGCTTCACACCAAAGCTGCGTTCGCGCATCAAACTCAGCCTTGTACCGTTAATGTTGCAGGTTAGCATCTTGTCAGTTGTCTTAGAACACTAACATTTAAGGCTATCGGCTTTATTGTAAACTCTATCGCACTTGAGATTTGAACCCAGTACCGTTGAGTTGTTAGTCAAGGCCAATTGCCTACTCGCTCACACAGGCCTAGAGTTCTGTGTAATGTTCTATCTCTTAATAACAGGTTGCGCGCAACTCGACATTCGATTCAACTTAAATGCATAGAGCATCAAGCCCTTGAAGGCATGGAACTGAGTGTGCTTTTAATGAAAAGGCAAATGCGGTAACATGCTTTCTTACGACTCCTACGATAAATTCACGTACATGTGCTAAAAAACAATGGTCACAAGGGGAACGAAAGGCTGGAGGATGATCATGGCCGTGAAAGGCTTTAAAGGCTATTCCTTGGGTTGACAGTTATATGTGAAAGGAAAAATCGAAAGCAAAAAAAGATGTGATGACGACAACGCTTAGTGAAATATCAACTGTCTCATTGACTTGGAGACATTTCTTCTTCTTCTACTTCGTTTGCCGCTGTGCCGTTGTGCTACAGAATTAAAACGAAACTCACATCACATGCCGTGTAGATTATACAAGCACTTGTTGCAGCCAACATATATAAACATACCACATCGTATACATTTCTCCGACATATTTTTATAACGTATTACATACAAATGATATTTCATACGTAAATTAGAAAGAATTTCATTTTATTGTTGCTGTTGCTGTTGCTGCCACATTGTACTATTGTGCTATCTGTGTGACATGAATATATTAACATGGCTTGCATTTAATACAAAAAAAAAAAAAAAAAAAAAAAATATGCATTATTAACGTATATTAAAAATGGATCAGTGACGTTTTATTTGCTTTCAACGATTTCTTTAAAGAGACTAAACTTTCCAGACAGAATTTGAAAAATTCGCATGAATAACGACAAATTTATGTCAATTTGTTTGTTATAACTGAAAAAACCCAAATTTTCTTATAGATTATTTGTAACTTGTGATGGATAATGGAATGTTCGCAAACTCTCATATAGTATTTAGTTGCTGATGAGCCAGCCGCCCGCTAAAGTTAAGCTAAACAATATCCGAAGTATTCTCGATATGAACGGTGGTTGAAATTATTGGAAATCTTCAGCGTTATTGACTTGGAGGTAGCGGTAAATCAGGGCTTGATCGACCTCGATAACGCAGTTTTTAAATCAAATGACTTTACCGTCTAATAAGCGGCAATTTTTACTTCATCCTAACTAATATGAAAAAATCAAATCAGTGTCAATGATTGACCTTGAATTTTAAGCTTTTTCTCATTAAACTCGCTACTCGGTTCAAAATAAGATTTATTTTCATTTCTCGGTATGGCTAACCGGTTTTTTTTCTTTTTTTCTTTCTTCTTACTTTGAGGGAATGATACGACAAACCGAACAAAGAAATTTGTAGAAGAAGTAGACATCGCGAAGAAATTTCCAACTACATGTTTTAGAGATTATCTTTAGAAGCTACAGTTCTGCGAAAGAGAACGTGTATCGATTCTTCCTGATAGCTTCTAAGTTTCGTTTCTCGCAAATCCTTACTACCTTATTACCCTTATTCTCTATTCGGTGCACATCTTGGATACATTTTTTATATTTTCTATCTTTGTATATCTGTTTCGTCATAAACTGGCTGTTCTCTACTAGTTACTAGTTTCACTCCACAATATAAACAAAATGAAGCGGTGAAGAAGAACGGATGTTGCGTAACGAAAAGTTCAACCAACTAGTCAAAGTCAAACACTTTTATGTAACGAGCTCCAAGTTTGACACCGGAATAATATATTATATTAATATAGTTAAAAGGTAGAGAAACACGCGCCCCATTGTAGAAGTAGCTAGAAAAAGGAGAGTCTAACTTTTTATCTTATAAACGCTCCACATGCGTAAGGAATACAGGCTCAGAAATCTTTATAAAGACAGGCGGACGATCGAAACTTTCTTACCGAACGGACTGATATTATGCCCTGGTCTATTCTACACCCTGCCTCCCTGCCTTCGTCGACCCAAAACGTTCAAGGGCTCATTTCGAATCCGAAAAAGAATATAAACAGAAAGAAACATAGAGAACAAAATAGAGGACAAAAGAGGAAACTCATTTATATCGAAATTCAGAATCACGTGATTACGTCTGATAAGCACGAATTTACGCAATTACTATTCCAGCAATATATATATATTTTATTTGCATCATTTATTGCTAATGTAATAAAGTACAAATAGCGCGACATATTTGTATTATGTGTTTGCGCTTACGTATGCAATTATTCATCCATAGTGGGTGATAGCACTTATGAGATTTGCGTTATAAATGCAGGGAAAGATATATCAGATACATTTGTAGGTACGTGTATGTTGATAGAACAAACTTTAAAAGATTTATGATCTGTTAGAAAAAGAAAAAAAAACAAAATTTCCATAAAAAGCGATTTTTGTTTATTTGTAAGGTTTGCGGTCGTTCACAAATAAAAGTATAAAAGTATTCATCATTTAATGTATGTGGACACATATATATTTTATATTTATTGCGAAACAAAATATTCTTCACTTTTTTTTTTTTTTTTTTTTTTTTTTGTTGTTGCTCCATCATAGACCGTAGAATTACTATTTTGCTGGGAAACGTTTATCAGTTTTCATTTATTTAAAGCAAATTAAGCGAACAGTACTATGTGGAAACTTTTTATTTTCCCCGCAATTCTCATTCACAAAGTATCATAAATAATAAGCGTGCAAACGAATTAGTAGAGCCATCATTATCATATATTTCCGATACGATATCAATTGAACGCTTAACGGTAATATAATTATGAAATATAGTATCCTCATTATATAGTAATATCTATGACACATAAATAAAATCGAATTTTTTTTTTTTTTTTTTTTTTGCTTTGACACGCAATGTCAGGAATAATGGATAATAAAGATTAATAAGAGCATTAGAAAAAGAAATGCAAGTCGACTTAATCTTCTAAATAAGATACTTACGATTTTGGTTTCCTTTTACAAATCAAAACTATCTGAGTTTTTCGTATTCATGAGCTTGCCGTAGTTAAGGTGGGTAAATTAGGTGATAAGTACGTCCGTAATAGTGAATTAGATCTACTATGTAATAAGTATTGGGATAAGTATAAATATTTATAAGGAACTTCTAAAGCTTCGACCCGTGGTATCTAAGGTTTCGATCCGTAGCCTGCTGACAAAAACTGTAATTTAGAAGGTACAAGAGAGATTCCTTTAAATCCAGTACGAACGTGACCTCCATCGAGTAACTGGTACGCCCACATTTAATAAAATATTTCCTATTAGGTTAACACTTGCATTAGGCCAAATAAAATTTTTCTGATTGAGTGTATATTACCGTAAGAGATATAACAGGAAGGTAAACCATGCTTCCGGGAAAGTGAAAACATGCCTCCAGTGGTGATCCCTGGTAACGATCTTTCCACGGCGAAGAAGAGTTTTAAGGCTTGACTATCTATAACTAGGGCAAGAGCTTTTTCTTATAGGCAGCTTCATAGTAGTACCGGGCAAGAGCTTTTTCTTATAGGCAGCTTAGAGATAAACTAGAAGAAGCTTTGTTTTGAGCACTTCTTTTGTCATAAAGTATTGCTATGAAGGAAATACAGACCAGCTGAAGCAGAACCGCTTGATTATGCAAAGTACGTTGATCGAGTAAAAGTCAAATGCATGCTATGCAGGGCATGTCGCAAATATGCGTAGCCATCGAAGCAAATATAT